AATAGTCTTTGCATTTGCTCACGTCAGCAGCATACACCCATGAGCAAATGGGGGACGCTAAATTGACCAATCAGAGCGCGCGCTTTACTTTGGTTATGTTATAATCGTGGATATCATTATGTTGTTGTTGTTCTAAGCATCATCTTCCTTGACACAAAATTAAATTTAACTCGCTTTTTTTTATTGTTCTACTCTTAATAAAGGGTGAAACAGGTTCTGAGGGCATCCAAGGAGAAAAGGGTCAACGGGGCAGCATGGTACAAGATGATCTTCTGTATATGTATTAAAGTTTTCATACCATGGTATTTTACTCAATATTAATTTCTTACTAACCGAGGGCGAGGGCCGTGCTGGGATGTATAACTACTGGCTTGAGGTCGCGGCAGTACGGACCTCGCTGTGCTCGACTGAGGGCAGATTTTCTTAGTAGGGCTCGAGCAAGCGCGGTTAGTAAGTAGTTTATTAAATTTGATTAGTTTGAATTCTCCTGCTTTCGCGAACAAAAAATACCCGGCTTATTGCAGTCTCCCTGGAAACAGTCCGTACAGCAAAATCCCTTCCCAGTAAAAACCAATCAGAACGTTCAGTTTTACATCATCAAATTAGCCAATACTTCTCTCTTACCAGGGTTTAAAAGGTGATCGAGGAGAAAACGGTATCCTAGGAAGAGAGGTAATACTTTAAATGAAAAATGCATGGTTTTAGCGCAAAGTAAGAGATAACCGTCTTCTAATCCAGTTAGCGCGGTGTGAACAGGGCTTCATTTAATTTCTGTTAGGGAAATGCTGGTATTTCTGGGATGAATGGAGAAGCAGGAGACATGGTAAGTTAAACCAATTTTTAACTGCATGAATTAGGTTAGCGCTAACTCTTCAGTTTCTTGCATAAACTGTGCATGGTGACACTGGGCTTTAATTGGTCCATGTCGTTCTTTGTGGGCCCAGACCAATTTTCTGTCTTAAGTAGCATTCTATCGCCCCGAAATCAATAAAAAAAAACCGTAAAATTGATCACTGCATTGCTTTTGTGTTCTATTTCTTAATACAATTAAATAAACCTTAAAATTAACGCGTTAATTAGGATGAAGTTTCTACGAAAGAATGTTTTAAGTCCGCCAGAAATTTTTTTTAATCCCTATTTGCAATTTTCAGGGCAGTGTGGGACCACAAGGCGTGCAAGGAAATATTGGCAGACCAGGAAATATGGTCAGGCAACAAATATTATCAGTCAAAGTTAATCTACTTTGCATAGTAGACTAGGAAGAGTAGATTAAGGATGCACTGAATACTGATAATTAAAAATGTAAGAATACTGCAAATGTAGGCTCGTTCCATAAATTTAGAATAATTTCGATTAAATAACATCCTCATGTCCCTGTAGGGATCGCCCGGACCCATGGGGGCAATAGGACAAGACGGAAGCCAAGGTCCACGGGTGAGAAATGAGGTACACTTTTCACACAAAAATAAATCTGTGCCTGGAAGTAACTATTTGTATGGATGTCACTTGTAGGGTGCAGTGGGAGCCACAGGTCCTGTGGGAGAGCCTGGAGTCAAAGGGGACACGGTAATTATCCAACCCATCTCAACAAATAGATTCTATTTTGCCATTTTTTCTTTTCAGTTCTAAAGATTCCAGATATCAAACATGGTAGGAACTTTAGAACTAAAGAACTCAAGTGTCACACTAGTAGTGGGTCGGTTTGTCACTGATGCTTGTCGACAGCTCCCGAATATCTCGTCTTTCGTAACCGTCACTTGTTAAATCTCGGAGAATCTCGCACACATTTTTAAGATTGTCGACCACGATGGACGAAGCCAACAAAACATGAGGATAATTTTCAAGTTCAGAGTCAGTTTTGTTCTCTCTCCAGGGACCTGCAGGTCTGAATGGTAGACCTGGCCAATCAGGATCGAGAGGACAAAAGGTCAGCACTGGGCTTGATTTTTTATCATTTGATCTTTCCTGATACGAGGATGAGGCTAAATATGACGATTTATGGGAAACCATTCAAAACAAAGAAACTATGATACGAAGGAGGGGGTTCACAATTAGTTTAAACGTGACATTCGAAGAAAATAATTGACATCGGAACTTACACAAGTAGCTAATAGATATTGCGCACTCGAGTCACAACTTAATTAGAGTTGCCTTCAGATATATTTTTCCCAGTCTGATCGATCCATATTCTTATGCTATAATACTACGTTTATGTTTGAATTCAGGGAGCGAGTGGAGAAAATGGAAAGCGAGGAGCAAGTGGTCCAGAAGGAAACATGGTGAGACACGCATCATTATTAACCATTTTGTATGAAAGTCATGAAACTTCTTAGTGAAAAGGCTAGGATGCAACATTCACTGGGGCAATTTGTTCGCTAAAGAATTGGGGCCATTTCATTTATTTCACACAGGGACCCCTTAGATAATGTAAGGCAGATAATGTGTTACATCCAACTAGTGCCTCAGTAGTCTGTGACATGAGGTCTAAGGCTCTAGTTGCTGAAACTTTAGAAACTCTATCTGGAGAATTTTACTACTTATCTGTCTTACAAAACTTCCCGCCCCACTTTAGCATAATGGTACATTATGATACTTTGTTGTGATTTCAGGGACATCCAGGTGACAATGGTCTGCCTGGACTTCACGCCACTGAGGGAGAAACGGTACGATTTGTTTGCAGCATTAACTTAAGGCGTAACATTAGTATGCTTTAGAATTTTCGTTCTGTTACATAGCAGATAGACTTGAGAAACTGAACACCTTTATGTAAATTGTCTGAAAACGAAACAGAGTAACTAGAAGTGTATTTAGTCTTTTCCAGTACCCGCAAAAACAACCATGATAAAAAAGTGTTTGTTTATTCTGAAAAGAATTGCTCTTCTCGGTCATGTTAACAAGTATGATACTCATATCACAATATTCTTTAATTCGTAGGGCAAGAAAGGAGAGGCTGGGATTAAGGGTCTTACGGGATACAGAGGTCAAGCGGTGAATATGCTGTTTTATTTCTATCTTGATCACTAGATTAGCGTGTTATAATTCTTACATGTTTAAGAAAGTCATACGAACAGGTTTGTTAGTTATGTTTTCACTGATTTCAGACGTAATCCTGGTCTATAATCAATGCGATCATATTGAATCGGAAGTAATTGTTGTTTGTGCCTCACTCAGGGTCCTGTAGGAGAGATGGGTCTTCAGGGGCCAAGAGGTCTCAAAGGAGCCCAGGTATGAAATAAAATGATACTTTCTATTTTTATGAATATTTTAAGAAAGATGATAGCCGCATATGGCTTCAATTGTACTAATTATAAAAAACAAGATGGGTAAAAAGAGATAGGACGAGGAGTAGTTTCTGGTTCAAGTACATTGAAATTAAAGGACGATTTCCAATTTCCCGGTGGGAAGCACTTCCTACTCAGCTACGGTGAACTAGTCGGTGAGTCTGTTTAAGGTACTCAGTTCGTGAGTACAGGCGAAAGAAAATTGTGGAAGGAATAAAGAGAGCGCTTGACCCCTGGCTCGTTTTTTGTCGCCCACCTTTTTCCTCATTTCCGCTGACTTAGAGCCTAGCACTATTTTAGTCCTGCGTAAAGATGGCGCGTAAAAGATACTGACAAATTTTGAATTCAGTTGGAAAGTAGAGAAAAACATTTGATACATGCCTAATACTACGAAAAACTATTTGGCACTATTTTACAACCTCAGGGTCCGAACGGAGATGAAGGGAGGATTGGAGAAAGAGGAGAGGAAGGAAAACAGGTAATGATCATTATATTGTCTCACTTGTCCAGTCTAAGTACGACTGCATATCTGTATCTGTGGTGTAGGGACCGGTTCTGTTAGTATGATGACTAGTGGTTTTGATCACCTCTATATTTTTTTGTCAGGGAATTGCAGGTCCTGTGGGTGCTAAGGGAGAAGTTGGAGATAGAGGTGAACAGGTCAGTAATATTTACACAACCACACAAAAGAAGAAAAAAAATTAATTCTCCTCAGTTGAGCTCCTTTTGGAATGCAGCTGAAGGCTTTAACTTCAAAGAGGAGATCTGAGGTATATGTCTATATATTTATATTTATTAAAACTGGATCATTGGATAATGCAATTCAAGACTTTTCATTGGCTTAGCCATTATGGTATATGAGCCAATATACCATAAACTACGATATGGTAAGCGTACGCGTAAGCTTAAAATGAAAAGGGAGCTAAAAATTTAATAAAATTTAATAATTGAATGCAGCGTTTTTAATAAAACAATTATTCCACTCGCGTTTGTTGGATATGAGATGATTATAGCCAACTCGGCGCTACGCGCCTCGTTGGCTATCTTTCATCTCATATCCAACGCGCGCTCGTGGAATAATTCTTAAATATACATATATATACATATATATATATATATATATTTAAGAAAATATACATATTATGTTTTATTAAAAACGCTGCATTAAATTATTAAATTTTATTAAATTTTTAGCTCCCTTTTCATTTTAAGCTTACTCGTACGCTTACCATATCGTAGTTTATGGTATATTGGCTCATATACCATAATGGCTAAGCCAATCTAGGATGAGTCATTGCTGCTGCAATTGCGCATGCTCGCTAGTTTACTCTAGTTTGAGCACTCTGGCATGGCTTAAACGATACCGCAAAGGTTGGGTCGTTTGGGGTGACCGTCTCGGTTCTCCTCCATTCTAGCATCAGCACTGCACTGATGAGGCCCAGAAGGCCGAAACAGTTCTGTCTGCAGTTAGTTATAACAAACTGGTTCAAGACTTCAGAGGTAGCTCATCGTTTTATTTCGACAGCTCTGTTTCGTATGGTCGAAAATGACCACTCTCATCAGGTAATTTCAACGATTGACCGTTAACTTACAATGACTGGCTATAAAAGCTGGAATACGGTTGCTAGGATATATAAAAACAACGCTACTTTTCCATATAAGTCATGTGACTGGTATGTATAATTTCGGAGATTGTTACTTTATTATGAAGTTTTTAAAGAGGTACCTGTTTCTATGGGGGCATGAACTTGCTAGCTCATTTTGCTTGTTAAGACTGCAAAGTTCCTTTTCACATATCGTGAATTTTTAAAAAAGACATACATTACATTTCTTAGTAATCCGTATGATGCACGATCCTCGCAGGAGAGAGCGCTATTTATGCAATAGTGAAAATCAGACCTGAAAAAAATCAGGCCTGTACGGGTTTCGAACCACTGACCTTTGCGATACTAGTGCAGCGCTCTACCAATTGAGCTAACAAGCCAACTGGGAGTAGGCCGTTAAGTTGATTCGTAATAAACCCGTGATGATAAATCTCTACTGCGAGGATCGTGCATCATACGTATCTACAACCGCAGTTCAAAATATATGAACTTTGTATTTCTTAGTAATGTTGTTGTACGGTTTGCATTGTTTGATGATTTTCCACGTTAGCTTGAAAGGTTTATTATTGTTTATTACTGGCTGGTAGGTGTTTTGGCTGAGGTTAAATGTGACGTCTAGGAAGTTGATTACTTGTTTGTTAGCTTATGGTGATGCGGAGTCCGTTAGCGTTAAGAATGCGGCATATCTCTTTCTTGATGTTCTCAGTGTCCCTGGGTGTGGCGTCGGTGGTGGCAAGTCCGTCGTCTCGGTATAGACCAATATTTATGTTGAGATTCGGTAGCTGGGACAGGAAGAAGTTTCCGACAAGTTCACAGGTTTCAGCGCCGTCGAAGCTGCCCATGGTTACGTCAAATGTAGTGTTGCCTTTTTTTTGCCAGGGTTGCTGTTTGTGGATTAAAATCGAGCTTTTGGCATGAATAATAATGTTCCTTTCGTCGGCGGTAATGTTGTCAAAATCAGATGCGAAGTTGAGTGCTTTGTTTAGGAGGTCTAGGCTGATGGACGGGTAGAATTCTATGTCGAAGTAGATGAAGTTGGAGTTGTATTTGTTGTCTATAGATCGAAACCAGTTGATAACGGATGAGGTGTTTTTTTCATAGGTTGAAGTTGCTTTTCTCGCGATGTTGGTGTTGATGCGGTCGAAGATCTGTTTGCTCACTTTGTCTATTTCGGGTTTCGTCGGGTTGATCAGGCGGCATGTCGGTTTGTTTGAGAAGTTCGGTTTGTGGTCTTTAAGTGTTATGAATGCGTCTTTGTTACGTCGGCTGTGGTGTCTATCCTGTCATCGATTTGTAGTTTTGTCGTGGTGTCTTTGTTTGTTTTGTATATAAGAAAGTAAACTAAGATACTTTGTCCCTTTAAAATGAAGTATTTATTGTATTACAGGGTGCCTGTATGTGATATGTGTTTCTTTTTGTTGCTTCACAGGGTTTGGGGGGAGCACCCGGTGACATAGGAAATAATGGAGAGCCTGGAATACCGGTACAGTCGGAGTGAGGGTGGGGTGAAGACAATCATTTGAAATTTGCTTGAAACGAAATCCATTCTAAAAAGTCAAGGTGGTCAAAACCATAATACTCCTGGAATTGATGTTTGCGAAATTACAAGTTAGATTATTTTTTGCGGGACGCTTATCTCCAACAAAAATATTTCCACATGCTAGGGAGAAGCTGGATCTGAGGGATCTCTTGGCGAACTAGGACAAAGTGGCATTGAGGTAGAATATATATACCGACATGTTACAGCTGATTTGATAATCGGTGTCTGTTGAAGTTTTATGGGGTGTTTGATTGAACGATTAACTTGTTTACTTATATTTGTTTGTTTTACTACATTTGACAGGGACTCAACGGTGACACTGGACCTAAAGGTTCTCGAGGCACAAAAGGATTTTCAGTTAGTTCAAATTTGTTTTTTATTCTTTTTTTAAGAGTTCAAAGTCTATAAGGATTCATTGTGGAAGTCCCACTACAGACAAGGCATATATGACGTATTAAGCGAGATCTAAACTATTACATGAACTCTATCTCATTGCAGGGCTCCACTGGCTTAACTGGAAACCCTGGTGAGCCAGGACAAACTGGGGCTCAGGTAAAAAAGCACACTTGTATATCACAGCTCATAGACAGTGTGTTTCTGGTGATTGTATGATATATGTGAGAACTGCCCTATTAACCTCGACAGGGCCCTGCTGGACCACCAGGCGTAGATGGACCTTCTGGCAGAAAAGGACCAATCGTAAGTAGCCGCCTGGCTCGTATTGTACCTTCTGAAAAACCCTTTTGTGATTGTGCAATCCATAACAAAAGTATCGCATTAATCTAATATACTTCATGTAAAAAGAAATATACATATATATATATATATATATATTAGTTCCCTTTCCTTTCACCATTTTTGTGTTTCCCAAGGATTCAGCAGCAGTGGAACGTACAATGTAAAAGAATCGAAGTGTTTTTGTCTCGATCTTAAATGCGCCCAGTTGTTAGAGACAGCAAAACTATAATGAAGTTAGGATATGAATCGGATACATTTTCAGGGACTAGTTGGTAAACGCGGAGCCGCAGGACAAACTGGCGGAGAGGGACCGAAGGTAGGAAACTTATTCGCAGTTTTAAGTTACCCTTGAAGTAATAACAATATATTGAAAGAAACAATGGACAAAACAATGTGTCCGGACTCTGTAAATAAAAATACTGCTATTACTCAACGATTATGATACGAAAGCGTTGAGAAATATTGTCCAAACATAGGACGGCATTTACCTAGCTCAAGCACAGTTACTCTGTTTCTTATTAGAACAGCTGCGTCTCCTTTCATTTTGTCTTTTATTTATCATTCTTACTTTTTCAAAGGGTGAAAGAGGGGAACCAGGTAGTGATGGTGAAGATGGCACAAGGGGGAGAAAGGTTTGAGTGAAGAGAACTACATTCACTTGCTTTTGCATGGATTTATTTACCGTTCCATCCATCGAATGCCAATATCATTTCTTTTACTTCGTTAGGGCAGCATTGGACTTCCCGGAAAGAACGGGAAAAGAGGAGAAAATGCAGATGAAGTACGATATAAGTAACTTGCGTACTATGACTGACCTAATTAGTGATGTAACTGTCAAACATTGTTTCTCATGGCACAATTTTTCTCTATGTTTATAGGGTCCCCTCGGTTTAAAGGGGCCAACTGGATTGCCTGGGGAACCTGGTGAAAAGGTAATTATGCTGTCTAATGGTTAACCGCTTCCCTGTCGGTATTCCTTTCACAAATCAGTTATTTTGAGTTAATTCAGTAAGTTTCTTCAATCATTTGTTATCTTAATTATGTCAGGGTCCTCCTGGGGCATCTGGTTCAATAGGTGCCTCCGGTCTTCAAGGAGTCAAAGGAATGTCGGGAGCTCGTGGAGATCAAGGAGCCACAGGACGTTTTGGGGAAGATGTGAGTTTAAAAATTATTTGTTGATTTAAAATTCAAAATCTGTGGAAAATGTGAGTTAAAATTCCTTTGGGGAATTACTTCAAGGAAAGGTGTGAGTTACAAATTCTTGGTGAAAAACTCAGGGTAATAATGGGGTGAGTTTCAGCTCCACTCATTTTATTGCTAACTTAAAACAACATCGTACCTTGAAAGGAAACAATGTTTTCCTGATCTTGTTGACGGTGTGTTGCGTTGAACGAGGACTTAACATGACGACTTTCTTCCCTTTATATCAGGGTCCCCACGGAGCCACCGGTGATCTAGGGTTACCGGGAAAACAAGGGGACAAGGTAAATATTCGTATGCAGGAAATAGCCCACAATGCTGGCGTCTTATTAGGGCGCATAAACGTTTAAATATTTAAATATTTGTATGCAGAAAATAGCCTACAATGCTAGCGTCTTATTAGGGCACATTAACGTTACAAACTCGCGATTGTTTATGCAATCAGCCATTTTAACTTTCTCCCTTGGTACGAATTTATTTCTTTCCTCAGCCTTCTACTTCAGTAAAATCAAAGGTGACAGCTATAATTTTACCAAGAGAAAACTATGAAATCGCTCAAAATTATGCCAGCTCTCAAAAAGCTACACAGAAAATAAAGACAGCTTTGATTTCTGATTAAGTTGGAATCACATTCTGATGACAAAATATAACGAACCTCTGAGTATATCTTTACAGGGCGATTTTGGCGAGTTAGGAGATGTTGGAACTAAAGGAAGAGCAGGGGATAAGGTTCGTAACGTCTTTAATCCTAGCGAATGAACAGGCACATAATGCATTCATGTGTCATGGGTTACTCAAAAGGAGAGTGATCTAACGGTTATCACGGTTTACTACGCGCAATAAGTCCCTGTATGAAACATTGCATTGCTTCCCCGTTGGGTTCTAGAAAATCTTAGACTGCTATCCACGCTGGAATCAATTGATTGGTCCCCAGTCAAGATTGTTTAAAGATCTTCAGTAAGGGAGAAAAGGAAATCCATACCAACGATTATGGTCACAGACCTCAACTGAAGTGTGCCGGTCTTCTTATTATAACCTGATAGATGTTAATAATATTTTTCCCATACTTAGGAGACAATTAAGGTGGCGCGGTGAACTGTTTTCAAACCATTTCCGGACATAAATGAAAACTCCCTTCAGGTGCAACAGAGAAGCAAAACTCGAATAGTTAAGGACCTTAAAATGTGACGAGCTGTTCATATTGAAAACATGACATGCTTTTTTCCTTATTATAATCCCAGCGGATGGCATACTCAATCTAAGACATTTCTTATGTTTTTAATCAACTGCCTTTCCTTTCATCTTCAGGGAAGTAGAGGAGTCAGAGGTGCGAAAGGTCCCATGGGATCTAAGGGTGCACAGGTATATCGAAGTCATCCACTGTTGTTGTTTTTTTTTTAATCATAAGGTAGTGATTGTACTTCATGTGTGGCATTAGTATTTATTAATCACTAATATGTGAAATATGGCTTAAACATATCTTTAGGGTCCTTTAGGTGAGCCTGGTCTCCCAGGACCGATTGGACCTGCTGGGTTAGAGGTGAATGGTTTTCTTTTAACTCTTCAATCTTTGTTCTTTACTAGGGAGCATTCCAAAGAATCTGCTTTAGTTCTCTTTGGTTCTTCTTTTGCATAACAATAACATAAACATAGAGTAGAGTTTTCAGTATCCTGTCAGACGTATCATCTTACAGCCTGATTAAGACGATAAAATAAAACTCACTTGGTAGCTACTTAAGTTTGCATACATTTGTTCTTACGATAATGATCAAAATCCTGTTTGCTGCTGTGTGTCTTAAGGGAGCTGACGGCATCAGAGGGAGCCAGGGATCCCCTGGATTACAAGGAATTTTCGTAAGTAAAGGTTGCCTTTCAAGAGAAAAACAGGAAGAATTATTTTCACTTGTTCCAGAAACATTTGCTTTCGCAAAAATCTGGAACATGAGGTACTGAAGCCACTAGAACACACCAAGCCCCAGTTGTTTAAAGGATGGATAACTTCTTATAAATCTCTATCCAGCGGATATCCTTTTTATCCACCGGATAAGCATATCCAGTGGATAAATTTATCCATCCTTTGAACAACCGTGGCCAGCATTATATCAACGACAGGATCTGTAAGGCCAAGAGAGAAATATGGCTTACTAGAGTCTAACTGGGCATAAGTAAAATTTCTAGTTAAGATTAATTTCGACCTTCAGTTTTTGCGGTCTCTAGGACTACCACTGAGCTACTTAAAATCCATTTCTGGGGTAGTCAATTACTACGTACAAGTGGGTCAAGCGTCCTGCATACTGCTCAAGTCATACTGCCTGAGTTCTTCTGCCTCGGTCATACTGCCTAAGTTACACCGCCTAAGTTCTTCTGCCTCAGTCATACTGCCTAAGTTCTTCTGCCTCAGTCATACTGCCTAAGTTCTTCTGCCTCAGTCATACTGCCTAAGTTCTTCTGCCTCAGTCATACTGCCTATGCCGAAGCCATACTGCTTAGGTTCTTCTGCCTCGGTCATACTGCCTAAGTCATGCTGCCTTAGTCATAGTGCTTTAGTCATACTGCCTACTTCATACTACTGAAGCCATTACTGCTTACCTCGGTCATACTGCCTAAGTCATACCGTCTAAGTCATAC